GAGAAAAATGTTTGAAATTTGAAAAGAAAAGAAATTAGAAGTTAACCTTAATTCTAATTTATTTACAAAGTAAAAGAAAGGTGTGAAGAAAATTAATTAATTTATCATGAAAACAATTTAATAGAAAAGTATTTTTTTTTTTTGGATTTTTGATTTAGGGAAATATTTGTAATGTGTGTAAAAAAAAAATAATGAAATCCCTAATTTACAAGTTAATTAATAAAAATAAAACAAAAGGGTAATTAAAATTAATTAATTTTCAATGTCAAAAATTAGTTTAATTAAGTAAAAACCTAGATCTAACATTTTTTTGATATTATGATTTTATTTTGATAAAATAAAAATGTTTAAACAAAACAAATATATAAAAAATAGTAAAAGAAAAATGAAATGGGCCAGGATGTATGAAAATGAAATAGGGAGTATGAAACAAGCAAAATGTCAGGCCCAACAACAGGGAGCCCAACGCCTGTACTGTGATCCAGTGGGGGAGGCTGGTGAGGGAGCATCATAGAGAGGCGTTGGGTGTGTTAGATATGGGATTTATTGAGATCTGATGGTGGAGGATGAAGGATGCATCATGCGCGCTAGGGGGTTGCTTGCACTGAATCTGAAATGAGAAAACATGAAAAATCAAAAGGGTACCACTGGGGCTCGATCCCAGGTCCCATAGGTTAACAGGCGCGTGTTTTACCACTGGGGTGGCTATACATCTGTTCATTAATACAAAACCATAAATATATATTGGAAAACAACTCCATGGCTGTTATCTTCTTCTTCCTCGCGCCATAAACCACTGCCATACTTTTGAATTTTCTAACTTCTTCATTTCTCAACCAAATTGAAAAATACAAACATGAAACTTGCTTGAAATTTCAATACGAATTTAACCATCTAAATAACTAAAGCTATAAATTACATATGAATGACAATTTTGTTGGCCCTAAACTGAAACCTAATTTTTTCAGAAACTTTAAACTCAAAATTCTCCCTACTCAATCAATATAAATGAAAATTATGGATATGTACAGTTTCAGGGTAATGATATCTACATTTTATCTTTGAAAATGGAAGCCTAACAATGCCTAAATGAAGAGATGAAAGTTCATAAAAATACCTCAAAAACTGGAAATCGGGAAATGAGTTTGAGCTTGTTTCAAGTGATGGTGATGATCAGGTTAGCTTCCTTGAACCTCTAGGAAGCTAATGCAATAGATGGCTTGAACTGAGAGTAGCTGGAATGGCCTGGAGAAGTTAAGATGCAGACCTCTGTTTTTGGTTATGGAGGATGGTATAAATGGTGTTACAGTTTGAAAACAACTATTGGTATGGTTTATGTAAGATTCTAAGAAGCTTTTGGAATTATTAAGCCAAGAAATGCACGAGTGGTTTTGAAGATTGAAGTTCAACGTCAGAAATGACACAAAAATGGAGGTTTTGTGCAATTTCCTGGCTTGAGGGAATTTTGGAGTGCTTAAGGGCTTCTAATCTCGTGTCCTAGGTTACATAATAGTGTTTTGATATATAGGAAAAGGTTTGGATACTTGAGATGGTCAGAAGTACAAGATCACATATTTTGACTTCTTGGCTTGTTTTTGAAGTAAGGTTGACAAACATGGTTTTAATGCATAATACAAGCATGGTCTGAGTAGTTAGAGGCTCTAGACAAGTTTCTTATGGCTTTTAGATTGTGTGTGATCATAAGGAACAAGTGCAAAGCTCAAGACAAGATGACTTTGTGATTAAAGCCTCTTTAATAGAATGGCAATGTTACTTTGTGCCATTAATGGAAATGCAACTTAGATAATGGCTCAAATGCTTGGATCAACGCTCTAAAAGCTGTGTAAACATTTAATTATGGAGTGAAAAACAAGTTTGAGGCCTGCAAAACAAGGATTATGCAGCCTAGCTTGGATTTGGTTCATATATTCTTCACAAAATGGCTTGTAATTCAAGTTTAAAAACCCTAATTCTTGCCTTCGATTCTCCTTGCTCAAACATGATCTCAATGAGTTCTTTGATATTTTAGAAAGCTTGTAACATACTCTACAACCTATATTTTAGAAATTTTTGAAAGTTCCTATTGGAACTATGTGAAAATGTTTCATGAAGTTAGGTCAAAATCCTGCCTAAACTAGGGCAAAATTTCACTAAGTTTCCAAGTTTCATGAACATGTATTCACAAAATCATAACTTGAAATCCATGAATTTCTAGGAGAAGTTGTGTTCTACAATGTTTTAGATCTCATTGATATCTACAACTTCCATGTTGGAAGTTTCCTTTGAATCATCTTGCATCATGGTGAAACATTTGCTCAAAGTTATGAAAAAATATGAAATTTTCAACACTTAGAAAAATTTAGAAATTTAGAAATTTTGACTTTTCAAAATGAAATCTTGACTTTTTGACATGTTTGGATGAATTGTGATCTTGGACACTTGATTTTGACCAAAAAGTCAAAGTTTGACTTTTTAGTGTACAATTGACTTTTCATTAGTTTAATGAAATTCAACTGTCAACCAATTGAACTTGAGAGATATTTTGAGCCATGCCATTAGGTCAAAATGATGCAATTGAATCCTTGAGATCATAACTTAAACCAATCAAACATTTGCTAGGTCAAAAGTCAGAAATTGCACCTTCTCAATCAAAACCCTAATTTTGACCATTTTGCCCTTATGATGATTTGATCAAATTTCTTGAAGAGTTATGATCCAAACTTGACTAAATGACATATATAGGTTCATGATGTTGATATGGATAAAAAATTATGAAGTTTGCCTGCAAATTGACCACAGTTGACTTTTTCCACAATACATTTGATTTTTAGGTCAACTGATCAATTGACTGGGCAAAAATGTGATCCAATACTTGAAACTTGACATGAGCAACCTCGAGGGTCCAAAACGATCCATGAAAGTCATATGTGGGCATTAAAAGTCTATTTTTCCTTATGCAATCTGAAACCCTAATTTTCAGTCATCAGTGCTTGAGGAGGTGTCTTGAGCTGATCAACTCTAGTGTAGTCTTGAACCAAAGGAGATCTTGTGAGAGATTACTTGATAAATGAGAGGGAAAATTTTGGGGTACAACAATTTTATTCTTCACGACTAAGTTTCTTGATCTTTATCTTCTGATGATGTACTTCTGATTCTGAAGTATTAAGCTTGGAAGAGATCAATCACTTATCTTTGTTCTTTTAATGATTGAAAGATGAGTAGTTCAGAAAATACTTTGTTGTTGTAGCGCAGGAACACCAGAGTGGTCAGGACCAAATCTTGTCTTCAAAATTATAGGCAACAACCTATCTGAAACACAAATTTTTTCTTCTGATCTAGAACTAGTCTTGAAGGCATATTTCTTTTCTGATCTAAGAGATGAATATTGTGTTGAGAAGATGTTTCATTTCAGATAGTTTCAATAGTGGATTCTTGTTTTCAAAATGATTAACGACAACCTATCTGAGAAACAAGTATTATCGTTGTACGTGAATGCTTTTTTGATGATGTCAAAAGCTTTTCCGATGTTAGATTTTATAATCAGATAATGATACAACAGCCTTTACGATTAACCAGTCTTTGAATTCTTGAGCTTTGATTCTTTATTCTTGCTGGATTGATTTTGGTCGAGGAGTGATAATGATCCAAAATATTATTCTTTGTTGTAGATTCAGAGTCTTTCAGATGTTTGAACATTGTCTACAGATATATACATAACAACTTATCCGAGGAACAATGTCTTCTTTGAGCGAAAGATTTTCTAATCTTGACTTCTTGAATTGATCCTTGATAATCAACTTTACTAAGCTGCATATCTGATGTATGATTTCTGAAGTAGAAGCTTATATTAGTACATCTGATTTTGACATTAAATTCCTTCTTTCTGATCTCTTGAATTCTGATCTTTGGATTGAGCTAAAAGCAATAACTTATGTCAGCTACATATTGTTGTTTGATCTTGAATTCTTTTCGTGGATATCTGAGATCTTGATAGTGGTGCTTTCTTGAGATCATACTTGAGTCCATTTCTGATGAACATTCAACATTCCTTAGAACTACTGATGTTTCTTTAGAAATGGTCACAAAATTTCTTCTTTTGAGTGCAATGGTACTTATGATAATATTTGTCTTCTGACGAATATTACTTATGTTGAGTAGATTGGTTTGAGAAGATATCATCCTTTGATCTTATCTTCTAATGGACTTTTTGATGTTGATTAGAAATGAGTTCAAAAGATCTTTCTTTCTTTGATCCTTTATTTTGATATAATACATCTGATGTTGAATGAAAGTGCATATTACATGAATTCTCTGAGTCTTCAGAAGCTTGACTCTGCCTTCAAAAATATGAGCAGCAACTCTTATGATGAACAAATATTGACTTCTAATATTTGTGTTGGATCTTTTTTATTGAATAATCTTGATTTCTGATTCTTTCTGGAAAACATTCAGCATTCTTCCGAACTACTAATGTCTCTTCATAAGCGAATTATCTTTCTGATGTGCTTGGTGTATTTATGATTCTCCAGCCAACAGTCTTGAATCAAATAGACTTTATTTTCTGCACACCCAATGAAACCATTAGAACTAAAATTATTCTTCATAAAATATATATACATTGTTATCATCAAAACACATATTTGAGTACATATCCAAATCTTGTTCTAACAGAAACAACTACAAGTTGAGGTGAAAAAGCTCCAACATTTCTCCAGATTATTTTCATGAATAGGTTCACAGATGTTGGACACAATGTCTGTCACATCTTTCCTAACATTAAACATGTAACTCAAAGCCAAAACACTTGGGGAAACACTAATTTCATCATCGCAAATACCAATGTATTTCTTTTGAACACTTAAAATATCATAGATTAGAGAGGAACCACTAATAAGTGGTTGGACGCCATGAGACTCAACATGTTTAACAAATTGAAAAAGATAACATGTGATGCAACAATAGATTGCTTCTGATTGGAAACCTAGCATATTACCAAAACCTTATTCATCAATAACAAGAACGTTGGGAGGACAAATGTCTAAGACTTCTTTTCCAACAAAAAACTTGTAACTGAAATTCAACAACCCATGAGGAATACCATTATTCTTAACCATAATTTCCTTTATTAACTTATGATAACCAGATCCAACATTCAACATTGTCTTTAGCAACTGAGAATCACTAAGAAGCTCTATAGTTTCATTATAATTCCATTCTTCAATATAATGTTTTTTTTCAAGAGCCATTCTCCTATTATGATCAACATTTCTTTTCTTCCTAGCTGATTTCTTACTAACAACCACACATTTCTTCTTTTTTTTGGGTGTCTTCTTTACCTACGTAGAAGTAAGGATCTTATTGGGAGGATTCCTTTTAGCCTTAAGCATAACCTTTCTATTTTCCACCTTTTTCTTTGACTTATTATCATACCTTTTACTAAGACCAAAATCTTTAGTAAAACCTTCATTGACATGAGTAGACCCATCATGAACTTCATTATTCTTAGGGATAAAACCCTCATCAGCACTGGAAAAATCATTAACAACACCATCAATGTTGCCACTCACATTATTCACCACATCATTCACTTCAGAATTAATAGAGGAAGCTTTCCCATCCTTCCTATGAGTTTGAAACTTAGTCACTTGTAAGTGCAAATAGTAACTATTTTTGTATATACTTTTTGTTACACTTAATGACTCTTTGTTGTTAATATCGTTAAATAAACCCGACTTTTGTGTAAATACGTTTACTTTGTGTTTATTTCTGTTTTTGTGTACATAGTGTACCATTTGATGTTTTTCCATTCATTTTGTAGGTATTTGTTACATTTTGGAGCATCGAGGAATAAAGTGTCGAAGGAATAGCTCCGGATGTGTGTTTACAGAATAAAAGACCAGTTTTGCTCAGAAGAGCCTTCATAGCACACAGAAGGCCGCTAAACACGAGTGCGCTCAAAGTATTTTGTAGCGCAGTGCTTGCGTTTTGAAATTTTGGAAGAATCATAGTTTTGGAGCCCGCTTAGTGCAGATAGTGTGCTTAGCAAAATTTTAGGCAGTTTAGTGTGTATTATAGGTGCAACCCGCTTAACACGGTGAGCCCGCTAAGCGCATTCTGCTGAGATCAATTTTGTACAAATAGTTTATAAACAAATTTTATAGGTTTTTATCATCTCTTTCCCTCTTGGAGGAGCTCTGATCTAATTCTTTGTAGCTTAGAGGTTCAAGCAACATCATTTGGTGGTTCATCATTTCGATTGGCTATGGGTAGTCTCAGATCGTGTTGACACCACAAGAAGTTTCCTATTTATCTCCTTCTTCCCTATGTATCATTCCTATGGTAGGTGTTGTATGTATATCTTTACTATTATTGTATGTACATTTGTTGATCACTGAATTGTATGAAATCTCTTTTATAAATTAATATCGGTGTTTATTCTTGATTTTTTCTTAATCGCAAAGTTTTGGTTTATCGTAGACATATGCTTTCCAAATCTATTTCTTGAATGACTATCTATTAGGTCCTAGACACTAGACATAGATTTAGGATTAATATTCATGTGGGTATCGGTTATGAAATGCATACGGGTTATTTAATTTGGTTGAGAGATCATCGACGAGAGCAATACATATGATGTCTCACTTTGCATTAGACACAACCTTAGTGCGAGTGATACGTGATGGTATTGATAAGTGATTTAGGCCGCGTGAAATTGATCAAAAAGTTTAAGTATTTGACAGGTTTAGTGAAATTTGATTCTAGAATTAATTTTCTTAGACTGCAGATGATTATTTATCACTTTCTTTACTGCTTTATTTACTTTTCCTGCACTTTTTCTGCAAACCCCTTTTCTAAACTTAGAAGGATTGAAATTGTTAAATGGTAGTTTTTCCCTCTCACCAATCTCTGTGGACACGATACGATATAACCTATATCACTCGGTAAAAATAATACTTTACTTTTTGCTTGCCGCTTCACCGCACCAGCAAAATGGCGCCATTTTCGGGGATTGATGTTGATGTTAACTACATCGCGATAGTTTTGCTTTCTAAGTTTCGTAAATATGTCTAGAATGTGTATTTGTACATTTTCTACATACTTGTTTATTTTGTACATTTACATGATTTATACATTTGTATACAGTATACTTGTTTTGTTTCACATTTTCCAAAGTGTGGTTAGATGTGTAGTTCTGGTTAGACCTTAAAGAGATTTGAGCGAAAGCGAGAGTGAAGCGTCTGGCTTGTCCGAAGAAATGTGTTATTTTGTAAATAATAGGCGTCGAGCTTATAACATAAAATAAGCATGTTTTATCGTTTTTTGTTTCGTTGTTACTTTTTAATTCTAGCTTAGATAGTGTGGTGAACATTCATTAAATAAGTTGTACTCAGATTGTTCGTAAAATTCTCAAATTTTCACTTTACAACTTGTTTAATCATTTTTCACCAATTCTTTTAGTATGTTTATATTAGTTATTTTATGTGGTTATTCTTTGTGGTTTTGCGCAAGCTTGTCGTGTTTAGTTTGTGGAAGTGTTTTTATGTTATACTGATGTTTGGATGTGTAAATGAAGATTGAGAGGTGTAAGTAGAGCTTGCATAGAAGCTGCACCAATTACCCTATTTTTTTGGAACTGGTGTAGCGCGCACTCTGTGCCGCTTAGCGCGCCCTCCTGTGTTGTGCCAGTGAATTCTTTTTAATTTTACCTAGCCCTCCTTTTTCCCACTTCCACCAATGCCTTATAGTAGTAATTAACATTAGTATTATTTTTCTAATTCTTTTGTTATTGTTTGGACTTTAATTTTTGTCCGATAGCTTGAGGATATTGAGGTGATTTGTCAAGTTTTATCGTTTCGACTTGCAAATGTGTGGTAATGATTTTGTTAAAGTTTTGTACACGTTCGAGGTATGTGTTTATCGCTTTCTATACTTTAGCATATTCATGACACTTATAAGTTTTACAAATTTTTATTCCATTCAGTGTTTTGTACATTTGTTCATTTGTGAATTACTTTAGTTCCTACCCTTTTTTTGCGAGGTAGCTTTCCATTGTTCACATGTGCTAGAGACTACAACTCTTGTTTTAGCTGGATTTTATTATGCTTAATATTTTGTTTGTGTTGATTGTATGAAAGTATGGAAATGATCAAGGCATTTTGTTTCATTTTGAGCACAACTACCTTGCTAAGTAGTCAATTTACCTTGTGAGTGTGTGAATTTTTGTAAAACTTTTTCGCTTTTTGTCGATGTCCATGTTGTTTTGATAAATACTTGTCTATGAGTGTTTGGTTCATATATTTGTATGGACATTTATTCTTTTCTTTCTTGAACCCTCAACTATGATTTGTAGTTTTAATTTTTACCTTGCCTTAGAAAGTAGGGAGTATTCACACTTTAATGTTAGTTGAATTCAAGTTGGGAGGAGAATTGTTTTCTCACTTATGTTGTGATTGCTATGCGGTTGTGAAAAGGAGAAAACGAAAATAAAAAAGTGAGAAAGAAGTGAAAAGAAAAAGAAATAAAAAAGAGAAAAAAAGTCTTGAAAAACAAATACAAAAAAAGTAGAATAATGTTGTGTTAAATAAGTATTGTGATTGGTGTGAAATTTTGGAGATGAAGAATAAGTTTGATTGAAATTATTTTTCTTGAGTCTTTGTGAGTTGATCACTCCTTTAGGTTAAGGAAAGATTTTGATTCAATTAGCTTTAAGACTCATCCCTTGTTTGTTAACCAAGCCACATTACAACCTTAAAAAGCCCTTGTTCTTGCTTTTATGTCTTTAATGTGATTTTTGGATGAGTGTATAATTTAATCTTTTGTTTGCAAGGTTGTTGGATGAGTGAGAGTACCACATTTTTGTGTGTTTGTCATCTACTGATGATTGATTTTTCTAGGTGTGATTCATTTGTGAACTAGTGTTATTTTAGAATGTTCGATATGATTATTGTATTTAGCATTTGTTTCATGTTTATGTTATAGTCGTAGTCTAGTGGTAAGTGTTTACTTTGTGTGTACTGTTTTTCATTTGAACCATTGCATTTGTTTTCTGTTTTCAAAACTTGTCGATTTGTGATTCTTTGGTTGATTGTTCTTGTTTTAGGACAAACACATTCAAGTTAGTGAGAGTTTGATAAGTGCAAATTGTAGCTATTTTTGTATATACTTTTTGTTGCACTTATCGATTCTTTGTTGTTAATATCTTTGAATAAACTCGATTTTTGTGTAAATACGTTTAGTTTGTGTTTATTTGTGTTTTTGATTACATAATATACTGTTTGATGTTTTTCCATTTATATTGTAGGTATTTGTTTCATTTTAGAGCATCGAGGAATAAAGTGTCGAAGGCACGACTCCAGATGCGCGTTTTCGGAATAAAAGACCAGTTTTGCCCAGGAGAGCTTACTTATCGCGTAGAAGGGTGCTAAGCGCGAGTGCGCTCAACGACTTTTGTAGCGCACTGCTTGCATTTTGACATTTTGGCAGAAGCATAGTTTTGGAGCACAATTACCACGCTTAGAGCGGTTTTAGGCGGTTTAGTGTGTATTATAGGTGCAGTCCACTTAGCACGGTGAGCCCGCTAAGTGTGGTATGCTGAGATCAATTTTGTATAAATAGTTTAGAAACATATTTTCTTGGTTTTTATCATCTCTTTCCCTCTTGGAGGAGCTCTGATCCAATTCTTTGTAGCTTAAAGGTTCAAGCAACATCATTGGGTGGTTTATCATGTCGATTGGCTATGGGTGGCCTTGGATCGTGTTGAGACCGCGAAAAGTTTCTTGTTCATCTCCTTCTTCCCTATGTATCATTCCTATGGTGGATGTTGTATGTATATCTTTACTCTTATTGTATGTACATTTATTGATCATGGGATTGTATAAAATCTCTTTTACAAATTAATATTGGTGTTTATTCTTGATTTTCGCTTAATCGCAAAGTTTTGGTTTGTCGTAGACATATGCTTTTCGAATCTCTTTCTTGGATGACTATCTATTAGGTCCTAGACTCTAGGCATAGATTTAGGATTAATATTCATGTGGGTATCAGTTATGAAATGCATCTGGGTTATTTGAGTTAGTTGAGAGATCATCGTCGAGAGCAATAAAGGTGATGCCTCACTCTACGTTAGAGATAACCTTAGTGTGAGCGACACGTGATGGTATTGACAAGTGATTTAGGTCGCGTGCAATTGATTAGCAAGTTTAATTATTTGACGGGTAGAGTGAAATGCGATTGCATAATGAATTCTCTTAGGTTGCAGATGATTGTTTATCGCTTTCTTTACGGCTTTATTTACTTTTCCTGCACTTTTTCTACAAACCCTTTTTTGAAACTTACAAGGATTGAAACTGTTGAACGATAGTTTTTCCCTCTCACCAATCTATGTGGACACGATAGGATATAACCTATATCAACCGGTAAAAATAATACTTTACTTTTTTCTTGCCTCTTTACCGCGCTAGCAAAATGGCTCCGTTGCTGGGGATTGGTGTTGATATTAACTACATCATGATAATTTTGCTTTCTAAGTTTTGTAAATATGTCTATAATGTGTATTTGTACATTTTCTCCATACTTGTTTATTTTGTACATTCACGTGATTTATACATTTGTATATAGTATACTTGTTTTGTTTCACATTTTCCAAAGTGTGGTTAGATGTTATAATATGGTGGGAGAACTGACTGTTATACTTTTGCGTTTGTATTCACAAATGTTGCGGTAAGCAAGAGTCGCCGCCGATTTTTCTTTTATCCAACAATGGAAAAGGTGAAAAGAACAGAAAAAAACCTTTCGATATTATTTATGAGTAAGGGGGTAGATTATGGAAAGGGAAGGTGTCAACACCCTTTCCATCTGTAGTTATCTACGGGTTCTTAGATGCTAGCTCATTTTAAAATACCTTGTGTTTGTGTGCTTGAAGAAAGTATTTTGAAAGGACGCCTTAGCGCAGAGAACTTTGTAATGTTTCTCGTATTGTTGAGAACATATACTAAGTGTTTTGAAATTTTTTTGGAAAGTGTTTTGTGTACGTGTATAAGTTTGTTTTGTTTTAAACAAGCATCTATGAACTATCTACTTTAATCGAAAGGTTATTCTTTTCCTCTTTTCCTTTAGACAGTGCTATCCTACTATTAATGAGTAGTTTTCGTTGGATGTTTGAGGGACAATCGAAGGGACATTCTTACAGTCACAAAGGCAACTGGGCAAGAAACCTTAGTAACTACCCTAGGGTTTTAAGATCATACTGAGGCAACATCGAGAAGGTCATTTTTTATCTTTTAAGCAAGAGGGTAGCCACTAAAGTCTCTCACATTTCGAGAGTTGTGACTGTTTTCTGAAAGCAACCAAAGTAAGGATACCCTAGAGGTGTGCATGTGCAATTGTTTTTGTATTCATTTATTTGACTTGTGTTAGGTTTGATAGCGTTTTGTTTTTATATTCTTGCCATACAATCCTATTAGTCATGCATTTAAACAGTTTAATAGTTTGCAGGAATTTAAAATGTGGAAAGATAAATCCTAAACTATTACAAAGCTTCGGGGAGGGGATTATTTACAAGTCCAAAAATGAGGGTGATAAGGCAATAAAAGTAATAGTCCTAGTTATTGTCTATTACATCCCAGTAAGCAGTTACAATAATATAAAAAAAATGCGAGAGTAAATAAGCTCGCGCGAAACGAAATTGACGTTTTAAAACCCTAGAAAGTTCTAAGTAAAATAAAATTCTTTTTGTTTGTTTTTCTTTATATTTTATGTTAAGAAAATATTTGAATTAAAAATAATTAATCTAGATCTATATTGAAAGAAAAAGTTAATTATAAAAGAAAAATGAAATTAAAGAAAAGAAAAGAAATTAATTTCTAATTTCTTTGGTGTTTTTAATATGAAAAGAAAGTGAACTAAAATCCTAAGTCTATTTAGTTTTAAATTAAAGAAGATGGTTTAAATAATTATTAATTAATTAATTTACAAAATTAATTTAATTGAGAAAAATGCTAACCTAATATTTTTATGATTTTTATCTAATTTTTATGTTGATTAAAAAAAAACTAAAATAAATAAATAAATAAAAAATAAACAAATATAAATGGGCCAGGAAGTAAATCGAAAAGGGTGTGTAATTGAAAAAAAAATTTAGGCCCAAGTTGAAGGAAAGCCCAAGCTATAATTGGATCCAATGAGGGAATCCTTTGAGGGTGCATGGTGAGCTGCGCATCTGAGAGCGCTGGATCTGATCAGATGGGAGCTACTGGTTATGATCATGTGGTGTATGGTGTACGCGTGGGATCTGCAAGCATTGGATCTGTAAGATAATTGTTAGAAAAAACAAAATGCACGGCCTGGGTATTGAACCCAGGTCCTTTCCCTATTTGCACGCTTCCTTTACCAACTGATCTACTTGTCATTCGTTAATAAAAATGAAACAATAATATTATAT